TACAGCCAATATATGAAAGTCCTGGTTGTGAAACATCATGTACATCTTGATACTGATTCACACATGTCAGGCTGGAAAAAAGGGGTTATATTACAAGCTTTTGAGCAGACATTTTTTCAAAATGATCCCATCTAGCAACCAGCTCTCTTTTACTCTTCACTGGATAACAATCACCATCTCGGTACTTCAGTCCCACTGACATCAGTATTCAGAGTTTGTGCTGGATATTATCGCTTTATTTGTGTAATAACAATGTTAATTTAGCCCCACAATCCTTTTGATTAAGCCGCTGATTGAAGTCTGCTGTGGATGTCTGGTGGCCTATTGAGTACTACTCTATGATTTCATTATGATAGATTAAAGCCTGACAACAGCAGGAGAAGAAACAAGGAAATTACATAATGGAAAGTAAACAGCATTGTATTCCACCTGCTGACTTGCTGGCATTTCCTTTTTCATTAAAGTTGTTTCAAACAGTGAAATTAACCATCATTTGTCTTGACAGTGGATGTCTGAGATGTTTAAGACAGTCCTTAAAAGCATATGCCTTTTTTTAATTTTCCAAAAGATGTTGAAACCGAAAGCTCTTTAAATATTAGCCTACCCATCAGCATTAGAAGAGCTAGATTGATCACAGTAGGTCTAACAGCTTATAAAATGGGATGATGGGAGCTCTTTGTCCCTGGATCACCTTTACAGTCTCAGTTCAGCTTTATAGACCAAGACCCATCTCTGTCACTGCCACCTTGTCTAGTAATGGACCTCGGTTATCTCTTGAAGTTGGACTTGACTGCCGGTCTCAGAGAGATTTATGATGTGTGGCACAACACCAGCAGTCGTCCACTGCTGCCACCCTCCAGCCTCCGCTGCTCAGTATTTTCAGCAAGCCATCTGCGGGCAGTTTCGGATGCCAGCTCCAGTCATCTGGGACAGACGTAAACTGTGTTAGTCCCCCGTTTACTTTAATATTATCTTACCAGCCTTTATTTCTTCCGGCTTCAGTTTCATGTCATGTCGACACCACCACTCCCTGTGAAATGTCAGGTATTCAATTAAAAAACATCACAATTTCCGAAGGCAGTTTGAGGAACGCTTACAGCAAACAAAAAAGGAGGGGGGGGGGGGGGTTTCCAGTCTACACTTATCAAGAGAAAAAAACATGAACAGACAGACAGCGCTGCCTTGTTGCTAGAGAGGGATAAGTGAAGCAAGAAGATGAGGCTGTGAGGCCCTTATCTTAGTCCAGAGTGTGTCCTGCCGCCGCCACAAAGTGAGGCATGTTGCTGTGCGACAAAGGTGTGAGGGCAGATAAGCATGTATGTGTGAAATTCTTCAAAGATGAGCTTAACTCTGATATTAAAGTGGGGAAGAGACAGAGAGAGAGAGAGAGAGAGAGAGAAGGAGAGATAGGGGTTTACAGAAATGGATGCTGACGTCTGTTGTGCTCAGAGTTGCTGGATGTCTTCATTTCCTCATGAAAAAGAAAGTGATGTTGGAAGAACCTGTTGGGAATGCAGATTTGTTCGCCATTCAAAATCCAACGTTAGTGACAGTACATAAGTATTATCAGTTAAATGTACTTAACGTATCAAAAGTAAAAGTACCCATTCTGCAGAAGAGGGGCCCCACCAACTATTATAAATGACATTATTAGATAGTTCATATAAATGCAACAACACAGCATTACCATTTTACTGTTACAGTTTACTGTTTTAGCTGGTTGAGCTGAAGCTACTTTTTATTTAGTTCAGTGGTTTGCAACCTCTTTCGCCCGATGTCAGCTGGGATTGGCTCCAGCCCCCCGCGACCCTGTACGCAGGATAAGCGGTTGACAATGGATGGATGGATGGTTTGCAACCTAAGGGCCCATCTAATGGGTCACGGTCATGAATCTCAGGGGTCATCAGATGATTAATGAAATTAAGAAAAAAAGCAGTCCTGCTGCACGCATGTTTTCATGTATTGTATTTGCCCTTTTGTTAAGTTAAATATTGAAGAGTTTCACCTCTCTGAACCTCCTGGTGAGGATGTTGTGTTTATTAGATCTACAGTGGACTGTTCATCCCTCTGTTCACCCATTTCACAACTGCATTAGACTGCATTTAGAGTTTAAAAATACATTGTTTAGTTATTGCATGCTATTACACTTATTAACAAATGATGAAATCAATGCATCCATTTTCTGTATATATGAGAGGAGGGGTACACCCTTGATGTGTTACTAGTTCATTAAATTAATATGCACGTGAAATACAATCAACACACTGCAGTGAAAAACCTCTCTCTTGGCTCTGGCTATGTTAGAATGCTAGTATCTAAAACTCCTGGTGTGTTGAAATGCTGAGTTAGTATTATAATATGCTCATTTCTATTCATATCTGCATGTGCACTGTTGTAATCTCAAAGGGCACCAGACATGAGTTTAGTTCCATCCATTGCCAGAGACATCAGTGTTGCTGTTGTTGACCTAGAACGTGTCCCTGGAATAATCAAAAATACATTAAATGTATCTGCCTGCATTGGAAATTATCTCTGGATGAACTTCAAACAGCATGCAAGTGTCTGTAATCTACCAAACGAACTGCGTGTTTCTGAGTTAAGATCTGTCAAACAATAGAGAGTTTTTTCCACTTTTACAAGATAGCCGCTATTTCACCAAGCTTGATATTTCAGGACACCTTTTCCACACTCCTTCACATCCTCCCATTGTGCTTTTGGGTGGTGAGTTGAAAATGTGCCTGCTGAGTGTTACACTTCACACGGAAAATTCCACAGTAGTTTTCCAGGATTATTTTCCTGCAAAATGTGGGTAAAACAAAAGGATACTATGTGTATGTTCACAGCTTTTTATTTTTTATCCTGTAGTTGTTGCAACCACTTCAAATGAATCCTCTTTCGCAGAGGCATGGCACAAAATGAAGATATTGTTCATCCGTCTCTTTCCATGTGCAGAGTGGTGACAGGTCTTTCATCAAAGCAACGACAAGAATCTGAAAATGCCTTTCAGTTGCATGAACAGTCAAGAGCATCATACTCCTTATTAATGTTGCACTCAGCTCTAATGTCTTTTTGTCTTTCTGATCCCTTTAGTTTCTTATCCATTTTGTTTCAGCCCATTCATCATTGGGTTTTTTTTCACTACAAATGAGTTTCTCACTTTAGTTTTGTGTGCAAGATCCATTCGTTTTCTTTTTTTTTGTTATTTGCTAGATGTGACAGGTCAGGGTATGACTTTGTCAAACTTGACAAAAGCAGATCTTTGTTTAATTTTAGATACAAAGATTATATTTAAAAAAACACTACAGAGCAATTCTCATTTTAAAATGAAGACCTGTGATGCATACAGTAATACGTACACTAAAACATATTAAATATTTGAAGAAGTTTCAACCTTCTGCTGCTGCTGCTGCTGCTCTCTTGGAAGGTTTTTATTCACGTGGGGGTGGATGACTAATAAAATCAGTTTGCTTCTGGTGGCCTGAGCTAGCTATGGATGCTGTGAGTGAGTGAGCGAGCAAGCGTGGGTGAGGCTTCCTATCTATTGAGGGAGAGAAAACATGCGGCGTTGCACTCGCTTGCAGAGTGAGCCCACTTCAGCATCCCATACAGCTCCCATTGATGAGAGCGGCACTTTTCGCCCCCGTCTCCCCCCATAGAGCCACATTTCATGCATTAGAGACTTGCTTGAAGAGAACCTGCAAAAGGAAAAACAGACAAATATAGGAGAGGTCGGGCTGTGCACACTTCCCTGTAAGACTTGCTTAACTTGCTAACTGTGCCATTTATCCGGGAACAGGGAATGATGAGGTTTACAGGTGTAGTGAGTCATTTCTCCTCCGCCTCTTGAGCTCAGTATGCGATCAGTGCTGTCTGCAAGTTGAACCTGAAGGGCACTGAGTGGTTTAGGATGCTTTGGCTCTGGAGAGCTAATGTTCTGATTGGATGTCTGCTGGGGCAAGAGAACGGGTACGTGCATCTTCCAAGTCCTGGAGGGGAATAAAGTGCTGCTCTCATTTTGTTCTGACATCCTGACTTCAGAAAGCCGGCATTGTTCCTGACACGCACAGCATCCTGGCAGCTAAAGTCACCTCGAGGCTAGACAGTGAGTGATGCCAAAAGACGGTGAAGAGCCACGCCAGTTACAGCAGAGGCCTGTGCCTGCAATAGCAAATAGTCAATATAGCGCTCTGTGATCAACAATACGCTCTGACAGGCATCTCTAACCACACAATCCATGTCTTGTTCAGTGGCTCTCAACCTTTGTTGTCTTATGTACCCAGACAGCCCAATTACCCCTTCATCGACCCTAGTCATCATGTTCTAAATATGTTCTTGCTGTAGACCTGCGGATAATAAAGTGGATGTTATCTTACATGATCAACTATATAAAAGTGGATGTTGTTACTTTATATTTTTTTATACAATTTACTATGTAGGTTTGCTATGCTCAAGCTTGTGACTAGCACAAGCCTTGACATTTCAAATATTTATTTGTTACTTTAATCAAACTATTTCAACCGTTTATTTCTTGCATTTAGCCAGTTATTTCAACGGTTTGTTCTTTAGGCAACTTCAAGCTAACTGTTTCAACTATCTGTATTATTTTATAGTCCCCTAACCTAGCCTTGACCAACCAAACCAAGCCTATCGGAGGTAAAGTTGTCAGAAAGCTGGTGGGGAAAAATAGTACAGTTTTTACACACTCAATTGCAACACATGGTGACAACATCTGACTCTGGTTGATGGGCAGCTTAGATAAGCAACACACCAATTTGAAATTGTATTTGGCTATTTATTATTATTTATTTAACACTAATCAGAGGATATTTAAAAAATTCTAATCTTAATTTAGTTGAGTTTACCACCACTCCCCTGCAAACTGCAAAATTACCTCCTGCAAATAAAATTACCCCTATTTGGGTAATAGGTAATATCACTGCTCTAAGACACCCCTCTCAAAGAGACAGTGAATAAAAGGATGGGAGCCATGGCAGAGGATATTTCAGTATTCATGCCAAATGTATTTATTGACTAAATTTACAGGGTACAATTAACACAAATAACCCTCTTGACCACTGCTCAGCAACCTTCTGTACACTGTGACAGTCGCCTTTGCTGTCTTTCAATTAAAGGTCCACTTGTCTCTGTTTGCAGTATATGTTCATTGAATAAACAATCACATAAAAATCCACTGGCTGAAATGCATTTACAAAGTGGAAAATACACAATCTGCAATAGTACTGACAGAGAATACATCTACAGCTCTATAAAGGCAAAATAAACCTGCTGTCAACAACTAATGTGGTGAAAGATAGGTAGTTCTTTACTGCTATGAGATCAGTTTTTGACTAACATATACTGCACAGTTTTGTGGAAGAGTAGTCATCTTTCTCAGTGCAGTCTTTTCTTCTTCTTCTTCTTCTTCTTGTGGTGGTGGTGGAATACCTTGGTGGGAGTGTTGCATCCCAGAAATAAAGATTCAGTCCGGATCAATATGCAGTTCGAGTAATACTCCATCCACGCATCTTGTTTTTTTCTTTCTTTCTGGTTTAATCTTTTTTCTTCATATTGCCTTTTCTTTATGTGGACAGCCAGGCAGCAACACAGGCACACACCTTCAGGAGAGGCGAAGAGATCTGCCCAACCAGTCTTTTACCTTCCTCCCATCGGACCTCTTCTTTCTCTCTATTTTCCCCTAAGTAGACCGTTCGCTTTGCTATACGTGTCCAGGCTTGGAAAGGTAGGCTATGAGGGCCACAACCACCCCCACATACATCCCTGTTCCAATGGTGATGGAAAGAGCAGCCAGGAATAGGGCTCTTCTGGAGCTCATTCCTGCTCTGGAGAAGTCTCCCTTAGCGATGGCCTTGCCAGTCTGACAAAACAAAGCAGAGAGTGAAATGAGCCGGTGTGTTACTCATCAGGACTGAGGATATGAGTAGGTGTTAAGCCACAGTTAAAAGATAAAAAACAAGAAATTGCTCTCTGGGAGCAATTAGTTACCATGGCAATTAGATCATTATCCCTCTGACAGTGACAAATGTGTTGTTTGGGTGTTTTGGTTTCCCAACCAAAAATGAGCCTGGCCTTTATTTATCCTTCTGACACATTATTTTCTGCTCTTGTATAATTGTCTCTGCAATTACTGTGGTAAGATGTTTCAAAAACCACTAAGATGTGCTTGTCTGAGGTTGCAGTGCATGAGCCTAATCTTTTTGGACCAGAAAGGTACTGGCATTAGATGAACTTGCTGTGTTGCTGTACATACAAATGAGGTCTTAGCAATGGATGCAACAACTTCAAATAATGTCATTGCACCGTACTGTGCAACTCGAACATACAGCATACCAAAACATCAATGTTAATGGTTGCCTAAAGTGGATACAGAGGACTGTCAAGTGGGCCGAACCTCCTCAATTTATGCAGTCAATCATCTGAAACAACTGCAAGGAGGGTCACGGGGTGGTAGCAGTTGTCTGAGTGCTTGTGCTCGCTGACCTTAGATAGAATGCAGTGTAATCAGAGTTAATGACAGTCTTGAGATCTCTGGGCCTTTACCTTGTGAGAGTAGTAAAAGGCAACGATGCCCAAGGGCCAGAAGCAGCAGAGCATGGAGAAGATGGCGAGGCCGAGGTAGTCCCGAGGGGGCAGCACTATGAAGTTGTCCTCGCTCTCACTGTCACTGGAGCTGTCACTCTGGAAGACAGCGGGTTGATGAAGAATAATTGAATTTCAGAAAAGCAAAGGATGATGCACTACTAAGGACCATAAAATGAGACAAAAGGTGAGAGCAGTGATGAGATGGACACCTAATAATGGAGTAAAGTTGACATGTGTAGATAGTCAAGTGTACTTTGGACATCTTCACAGTGATGTAGCTTGACAAATGGTGAGGGGGGGCAGGCCAGTGTATCTGCCCTTGTTCCACCACCACCCAGAACAGGGTGTGCTCAGCCAGCCAGAAAGGATTTGGTGCCTCTGTCAACACCCATGAGCGGCCTTACAGATAACACAGGATTAACGGATTGTTCCATCATTGCACGGCGACAGGGGAAACAGCAAGAAGACAGTGTCATTTATGTGCTAAATTGCTTCTACAGCATGAGAGACCTCCACCATCTCTCCTCAATACGAGGCAGTGACGCTCCCAATGCTGTGCCTCGATACAAACTCAGGCCCACGAGGGCTGAATTTGCTAATGAATGATAGATTTGAATGCCTCTCAGACTACATTGGCACATTGCCTGCAGCAAGGATGGCAATGTGACTGCACGGGTGACCTTTAAGAGGACGTCGCCTTACTTCTCTCAGCTGTCCCAAAGATGGAGTGGATGTTTGTCTAAATAAATAACCCCCATAAAGAGCAGGTTTCATTTGTTAGTCTTGCTGCCTGCAGGGATCAATCAAAGCGGGGAAAAGGAAGGCACAAAATAGAAATCGATATGTAAGGCAGGAACTGAACCAACCATTTTAGAGGTAATTATAGTACAGACAGTGAGCAAAGAAAAAAGGAGCCATACTCCTGTGCTGACGACCACATTTTAAAATATGTAGTGCACAATTGTTTTTTTTCGCTTCTAATCTAATCTACATTTACCAAACCACAGAATAATGTAATTTTCTTGTAGTGTTTTGGGAGCATTTCTGTGAAGAAACCTTATTTAGATGTTAGTGGAGGACATAAACACTGTACTCTCCAAACAGTTTCCAAACAGCTACCGCCAAGAAAAGATTATGAAGCTCTCTGTTATCTGCTTTATGAACACTGTCCACCTGGACACCTGGGTGTGATCCATCAACACAGCAGCTGGTCATAACCACATAATCTGACATCACATGAATAAACCGGTGGGAACAAACAGCAGTAATCTCCTTCTTTCTTTGTAGCAAGACCTGATAACAGTTTGTGTGACTGGTGCATTCAGTCCTACTGACAGCCTGCCTGACACCGAGTCTGGGGATACACTCCCAGTCTGGTCTGATGCCAGTGTAACTGATGGTGCTCCACAGACACACAGTGCCTTTACCAACCCTGTCACAGCTATCTCTGAGGCCTCGTTATAGTCTGGAGGGGACATTCGACTCCACAGCAGGGCACACATAGACCCCTGCACCCTGTTACTCTGGGCAATGGCATAATCCACATGCATCTGTTACATTGTTACCTGCAATTTATTTTTTCTCTGTCACACATATGTCAAATATCTGCTGACACAAACTAGCTGTGGAACTGCTATTTTAAAATTACACAACTTTTTTGCTGGGTCTGAACAATGGATGGGGCACCATGGAAATGTACAGTAATGCTATAGTTTGCAGGAAGGAGCATAAAAAAAACATCTGCTGACAAAAAAACCCTGCCACAGATTATATCCTGGAATATTTAGGATGTGTATGAAGCAATAACCAGCTCTGTTCTCTCCCTCTTATTTTTAGCCTGAGTAAATATTCCTAAGTCCTCTAAACGTTTGATTTGACTCGTATACATCACAAAACATGTGAATCTTACACATACAGACACACAAGGGAAAGTAAAGAAATGCAGATGCTGGACAGCCAACTTTCGCCTGAAAACTGTTCATCAGATTCATTTGCTCTTTTGAATTGGCATGGAATAACTTTAGCTCCAGGCTCACCTGCTCTGACAGCCATGCATCAGCGGAGTCCGCTTATAACCCTCACAGCACGACATTACTTATGGCAGTAATGGAAGTCGCTGCCATGTCTCTATCTATCAGCCAGGCCTCCGAGTGACAAGAACTGGCATGATCATCAGCCCAGTTAGGTTGCAATACTTCTTCCATGCCAGCTCAGAGCCCTGGGTATTTCACAAACATCCCTGGATGAAATTAGATATTTACTACTTCTGAAAAGATAGCCACAGCTTTATTTTGGATAGGGACTTTGAGGTCCTAAAAGAACAATAGCCTGGATAGATACCCTCAGATGTGTCATTGGTAATTATAAAACAAAAGTGTACAATTACCCCGCGCCAGATTTGAAAGATGCCAGTAAATTGACCATTTAGAGAACAGAGTGAGAAATGAGCATGAATCACACTGGCAGTCTATTAAAATGAAATTATGAAATAATATGCATCACTATACACACCATGACTCACTTTCTGCTGAAAGATGGCCCCAGCAGTTAGGCGCAAGTGTTGTAACGCCTTTAATTTCATATAGCAACTCAATATTCTAATTATTCTGTCAAACACTGCCAAAAGGCTTCTACTTGCATCAGTAATTATTCCCATACAGCTTGTAGCAGGAGTGAGAAGTATAACTGTTTCTACATTTACACCATGTATCATGCTACAATTGAAATATATACTGCTTGTAGAGGCCCATTATTTCAGGCACCTACATCTCCAAATAAAATAACACTAAAGCAATGCAAACTGCCATATTTGCAGGAGACATATTTTTCTGTGGTGTGACCTCTGACCTCATACTCAGGACCCTGCTCCTCTTCCACCTCGTACGACACCGTCTGGATCTTCACATCCTTCTCCCCTTGTGTGCTGTCCAGAGAGTTTTCTGTGGAAGCTCCATCCAACACAGCGTCCTTACCCTCTGTGAAAGTCGTCTCAAAACTTTCACTCTTGGAGTCCTTGCTGTGAAGACTCACGTCATCCTTGTACAGGATAAAGTTGGGCCTGTAGAAGGCCTCCACAGCTAGATGCAGGGATGTGGCATCCAAGAACTGTTGAGTCTTATGCTTGACATTAGTCTCAGTGTAGTAGTAGCCAATGAGGTTGTCCTGGTAAGGCTGGCTCGGGTAGTCACACTGGTAACCCTGGTAATCGTTGTGCACCACGTGTTTGCTGGTTTTGTCTAGCAGGGGGTTCTGGAGCTCACTGAGGCTCTCCATAATGGCAGGTTCACACGTCTTGTGGATCAGAGGATGAACTCCAAAGAAGATTTGGCAGTCTGGTAACTGGAAATACATGTTACATTTGGTTAATAAAAACATTAAAAGAAAGAAATAACAAGCAGTTTGATTAAGTCATGGCCAAATCTCTGGGAACATGTGGTTAATCTATAGGTGCAGTGTAGCTGTCCAGTGAGACCCAACATTAGATTTCTGGTGATGTAATAATCTAGGACATGAATTAAGTGTAGGAAATATTTCATCTTGTTTGGCAATCAGCATTCCTCTCACAAGCTCTCAGCAGTCTGCGCCATAAAATCACCATCTGCTGTATGTTCAACTGTTGCATCTCACACCCCCAGATTCATATAAACATGTAGGAAAAAAAAATATCCTCCACGTGTCACAGCTGCCGATATTGAAAAGCAGAGTGGCAGGTGCTGTTGTATTTCACACTGCATACTGATTACTTCGACTGGCCTCCCTAACTCCTCCTGAAGGTTTCCAAAAACAGCTGAAGAGTGGGACAAACGAGTGGAAGATCAGTTAAAAGAATTAATGGTTTATGGGAACAAAAACACGCACAAAAAACCCCCACAGGAACACTGTCAGGAGAGACTGTCACTAAGGCAACAAGCTGTGAACGTGTCCAGCTTTGAGTAAGCAAATTTGTTTTGCAAATCCAGCACTAATGGTCAGTCCCTTTTTGGCCAGCAAAAAACTTATCCATCAAATCAATCTATAAGAAAAGAGCCACTTAGGCAGCTGCATCAAATTTTGGAATTAGTAGAAAGTAGCAAATCAAGTAATTTCAGGCTTTTTGTTGTTGAAAGTGCTGTACTGAGAAATCAGCCACACGGTGGAAGTACACAAGATATTACAGAAATTTTCCTCACATTGGAAAAAAAAGAGCTTTGGGAGGAGATTGAGTTGCACAGACATGGACCCAAACACACAGGGGCTGGGCAATATGACATGAATACTGCAGTGCCATCATAACATTACATTCTATAGTCTCAATTCTTGTGTCAATGCCTCTGACGCAGTCTCAACAAAAACTGCAAAACATACCCCCCCCCCCCCCCCCAGCTGATACTGCATTTGTTTACATTATATTGCCTACATATCTGGCCCGCAGAGACCTTTGGCCTCTGTGACCCCTGGAGAACAAAAGCTCACACAGTCAATAGGTCTCAGAGCTGTTCGGTGTGGAGAAGCACGAATAATGTGGGCCAGTGGCTGAATCTTGAGCCCACACTCCCAAGACTCAGGGCTCAGTATCTTCAACGCTATGTCCTGCCATCTCCATTCTCACATGCTTCTGAGGCTGAGCCACTCTCCAGATAAAAAGGAATTCCATTATACACTACATTAGACAACAAAAACCACATCCCACATCCACAAATAATTCATCTGACAGGAGAAGATGTGCACTTAGCACATGTGAGTGCGTGCATAGGCTCAAAAATTATTAATGATCATGAGAACATACTCTACTTTCTGTTTTTGTTTTTGTCTATTTATTAATGTATGACTCTCTCTCTCTCTCTCTCTCTCTCACTCACTCACACACACACACACGCACACGCGATCACACAAACCCACACATTTTTCATTATTTTGATGACATCACACCTTATTTTTTACATCACATAAAATTGCAATCCTACTTACAAATATTATGTAGATAGTTATGCGGGATATCTTTTTAACTGCTATTTTTTTGTTGAATAGAGATCTGATATCTAGTCTATACCATCTAACAATAGGCTGAGAATATTTTGGCACACTAAGTAAACATCTCCGAAAATCAGCTTACCTGTGGTGGAAAATCTTCCCGCAGCTTCGATCAGCATCGTTCCTCTGCGCAACTGAGTCGATGGAGACGGACGGACCCACCTTTCTACTTCACATTATCAGCTCTGGGAAACTGTCACCGTGGCACAGCATATGGCATCCGTTTAAAAGGAAGTTATTCCATGTGTGTAAGAATGGACTTTGCCCGCCGCCGAGCTCTGCCCGCCATGGCACCGCTTCTGCGTCTGACAGGTAGGTGGATTTTACGCACAGTATCACACTGAGCGCACGCTCCACAACAACTCCGGTGGAGGCTGAGCTGACTCCAGCCAAATGATTGGCCGTGAGAGGCGCGCTGTAAACTCTAGTAGCCTACGGTCGACGGATTTGACATTACCAAACTCTGCTTGCCTTGCCTGGGCGTCTTCCTCCAGCCCAGTGGCTCATGTGCTGGCTGGTTTTTTTTTACGCCCCCCAAGAGGTGCTATTTTGCCTCGTTGCATAAGCAAAGAGTCCTTTGGAAACAAACAAGTTGGATGCCTCCACAAAAAGCCACTGTTTTAGATCACATGAGCCAGCATCTCCACTTGGCAGAGAGATTTATTTTTGTTTGTATTACTTTCACAACTTAATTGCATGTTAAAGTGTTATTCTTCCCCACTGAGAAAGTCACAAACACAAACACTCCAGAGAACATTTTTATAAAGCCCTCCTGCTGCTACATGCATTTTAGGATTCCCCATCTTCATATAATTATAGCTTTTATTCTTTGTTTCAGAAAATGTGCCAGTTTACCTTGATTTCCTTGTCCCTGTGCATGGTTCTGAATTGGTCCCAAATGTAGCTTAGAAATAAGCCACTATTAAATTCATTGCACATTTATATTTGATTAATATTTCAGACAAATCCCATGCATTTATCACGAGTCTGCTAATTTGGTTTTGCCTTTAACCCCACTCTGCTAAGCTGCTTATGATTCCCTGCCACAATTTATCATTGTGAACACTGTTTACACAACATTAATATAGATGTATTCCCCATCCACGCAGATGGGTGACATAATACATTTCACACAACAAAGTAAACCTAATTTATTTTGATCGCCATGGAGAATAATAATGACATAACTACAGTATTTACAGGGACGCCGTCTGCGGTTTAGGCTCATGTAAAAACACACTAAAAACAGTGCCTAGGCTGTAATGCTATGCCAAGAAATGAAAGACTGATATACAACCACTGAACACTGGACACATATCTTATTCAGAAGGAGCACTCTGTTCCACAGGCTCATAAAAATGTCTGGAGTTAATAATGTGCAAGCCCAGGCTCTGTCACTTTCACTGGGAGACACATTAAGGTGCTGATGGACACTTTATGGGGGAAACATGGGGCTGCATTTATAAGACTGGGCACATATGAACTGCGTCTCTACCAGAGTCACCTTGTGTTCACATGCACGAGGCGACGTGGCATAACAGTCCTGCTGTCACCGTGATGGATACCCCTCCCTCAGGAGACGAATATATTAGAAGAGGAGGGGATCACAACACTCCATTATTCCTCTTTCTTCCTTTCTCTCGCTCTTCGTCAGCCTTCACAGCAGGATTCAGAGTAACGTTTCCTAATGATCTGTGTCAAAACAGCACAGGAACCTCCACAGTCCAACACATCCAATTCTGAAAATGTGGCACCATGAACACAAAACCAGTATAGCCCAGTGGTGCCACTAAGCATAGTTCATGAGAAGAGAAGATTTCTCCGTGCACCGTGCTTTTACCAGCTTTTTCAGTAGATGGACTGTGAATATTTATGGTCCTCACTGTGCCCCTTTCTCCTGCTCCATTTTTCACTCTATATTTAGGCACTGTGTCATTACATAGCATATGCACTATTTGTCAAGCATTTTCCCCCTTGAAGTCTTGTAATTTCAAGAAACAAAAAGGTTATTTTGAGCTGAATATGCATGTGTTCGCGTGTTGTTGATTGACACCGAGCACCACTAAAGCAGAAAATGTTACTTACAGTTACCTCTTGTTGACTCTTTCCTCCACCCCTGTTTGATATCGCAGCCAACTCTTGACACCATCAACTTTCCTAAGGCCCATTAACCATCTTTAATCACTTAAACACTTTGGGGAATTAATCAGCCTAATCCGATTGGCAGAGAACATATCAAACCACTTAATTTGATCTGGCCTAGCTGGCTTTTGCGAAAAAAGGGGGGTATTTTAAGCAGCTTTTCCTTCATGGCCATTCTGTGCATTATTTCCTGTTTGATTAAACCCTTTAACAAAGTTTATGCCAACAGCACCTTTGACCACTGAACCTGCACATGGGACTGATGAAAAAAAAGCAAGAGCACATAATTAGGTCTGTCTGCATACTTGGTTGTTCACATTTACAGCATCATTTAGACACATTTGTATATTTACAGAGCAAATATCAGTTTCACTCTTTTCAGTTAAGATGAAGTCAACCAATTCTTACATTTGCGGTTAATTTCATAAAATAAACTATTTGCTGGTGTTCATTGCAGACATCAGGTGCTGTGAGAGGACCTCATCCATTTGGCTAAAGAGGTCAGTTTGCAGAAAACAGTGAGTCTTCGATCCCTTCAGCGCCAGGTTCAGATGCAAGAGCAGGAGGAGGCTCGGCATATGGGAAGGTTTTTGGCAAGGAGAGGGGCTGGAGCTCCCTCCAGGCCTGGAGGCATGCTGCAAGCCTCCAACTGAAAACCCACAGAAGAACAGAAAGCCACAGCCAAATACTGTCTCAAATTCACCACCTGACTCTTTGTACAATGAGCTGGCCAGTAAGGGGAGGACAGCGTCACGTCCTGTTACAGGCAGAGAGAGAGGATGTAAATTAGAATTGGATGAATAAGATAGTAGGTAGGTGGGGGAATAACAGATCCAGCTGAACACCTTCAGGCAGTGGATATTTCTTCCAAAGGAGCAAATTGAGCTTAAGAGCCGACAAACACAACAAAAGTCCTTTTATTAAGCTCAGTTTGTTTACCATGGAACGCTGCTATCAGACTCCCACAGAATTAATTTCAGAGAGCTATATTACAGAACTTCACTGTAGTTATTTGTTAAGGTCTGATAGTAAAGCTGGGCAGTCTACAAGGCATTAAAAGCAAATGGATTTATTGCCCTCTTACATCCAGAGAAAATTAAAATGAGTTTGACTCCTACAGTAGGCTGTCATAATGAAAAACATAATAGTCGGTGAATGCCAACATTATGAGAAGCAATTTCATTAAAGTGTTAGAAAGTTGCACAGTGTGTGACTTTTCAAGGTCCTTCTGCAAATGTTCAATCAGATTATTAACAGTATGTGCCTGGAAGTTGGCCCACGTCTGTGTGCCCGTGCAGGGGGAATGGATGTGAGGGGGAGTCCCAAGGGACAGGCAGAGGCTTTTGGCTTAGCAATTTTTGAACACACAAATGCAATATGTGTCGAATTAGCTGAAAGCGCTCCATCAGGAGGGGAGAGGTCGGAGTTTGTCATCCACAATTTCAGACAAAAGTACCACTTTGTAGCTATACCCTTCACCCATAGGCACATATCCCGTTAGCAGTGCATAAAAAAATGCAAAGTGTGCAACTTGGGAGAGATCCGGTCTGGAGCCGCAGTAGTTAATGTCAGTCATAATTGGACTTCCTCCCATAGAAGGAAAGTGAGCGAGCACAGTGGGGAGCTTCTCATCTTCACAGATCGCTGGCAGTGGTACAGTAGCCGACCGTTCCACTCTAGAGAGACACCGTGAGCAGATTAATGGCATCCTCCGTGGCGAGATTTGAAAACTTCCATTAATGGAACACCAATGATAATTTATTTGGACAGCCGAGCTGCTTCTGTGTGAGTAATGGAGTGGCCTCGGGATCATTAATATGATGGATTCCCTCTAATGTAATGATGCTGTGCCAGAAGTCCTAGCTCTAAAAAATATATATATAATAGCTGTGAACATTGTTGGCATTATAAATTTGTAGACTGAAAACAGTCATGATTTGATACTCACGCTGTGTTCCTCTTTAAGGGGATTAAAGATTTTTGAAAAAATAATACCTCGGAGGATTACCATTTCAAACATCAGTAGTGCTAATGAACAACAAGTTAATCCTGTGGAGAGGGTTGGCAGGTATACCAGATGATGAGTCAGTCAGGCATGACAGTCTACTGTATGACTTGCAGGGATATGGTTTTATTCACAGTCTCATCAGTCCAATAAGAGGAGTTAACAATTCACTGTGCCCAATCCTGCCAGAACTGCTGTCCCTGATGCGTCATAGGGCCAGCCTGCATATGTTAGAGCTCTCTGCTTTAGGATTTTCTATTAAACCTATTAAACAGCAGAGGATTTAGCGTTATATCTTCAGTATGCTTCTGAGCAAAACCGTGCTCTGACGAAGCCAGATTTCCCTGTTTGTGTCTTTGGCTGTGGGACTGCTGTGGACGGGCTATAAATAGGTGATAGTATGGGAGCCACTGCAGGTTAAGGAGAGGAGTTCGCTGAGGGCTGGGGTGACTCATCGCCCTGTCTCTTTGCATCATGTAAGTTACCTGGTGTCTGGACCTGTCACTGCACCCCCTACCACTACCTCATAATCTGAGACTCGCATGCATAAACAAAAGCCTGCTGGAGGCTGCTTCACTGTTCTCTACTATAAAAATATTTCCTCCTATTTATTCAAGCAGCTATACTCAATGTTTTTATAGTTATGAGTAAAATTCATATGTGTATTGTGAAAAGAGACCTATACAGGATTATTGGCTCTGCAGTTCTTCTCATTGCTGCAAGAGAGCGTTTTAGCATCTTTTAGCTAATTGTTTTGGTTGTACGCCAAGCAAATTTATCATTTTGGTTCACTCCCACAGAGTCATTTTATGTGACAGCAGGCAGCTGTTTTCATCAAAGAAGCTAGAAAACCACCAAACAGCCGACAAAGTCAGACTAGCTGTGGAACATAGTGGAGCATTTAGCAGTTAAAGAGACATTTCAGGAGTTAATGGAGAGCAAAACAGGGCAAATAAATCTAATATTGCATTAAAATTCTTTATATGGACACAAACCTGACTCCAAATGGATTCTAATGTTGCTTGATGTCTGCTGCATGTTTAAATAGGTAGGTGTTTGCTAACATATTAGCAAAAATCCAATGTCAGTGTTGGGTTCACTGCTTGATTCCGTTGCCTCCATTGCCAAACGATACTGCAGGTTTAGAGAGACCATGACCTCACCAAAACTAGCTTAGCTCCCCTGCCCTATTGCAGAGCTGGCACTTGTGAGCCCAGATAAAGATTGTGGTTT